GAGAGAGAGAGAGAGAGAGAGAGAGAGAGAGGAAAAATCTTAAGCAGGCTCTGAGCTCAGCACAGAGCCTGATGCAGGGCTCAGACACACAATCCTGGCATCATGACCTGAGCCGAAATCAAGAGTCAGGCACTCAACTTACTGAGTCATCACCCAGGCACCCCTAAACAGGATCTACTTCTTAAGCTAGGCACCCTGATAAGTACTTTACAAACATTATCATGTCTAATCCTCATAAGAGTCACTATTTTACAAATGAGGAAACTTTTACAAATGAGTCAAACTTCAAGTATGTTTGACTCTCTGGAGCCCATGTTCTGGACACTTACTACCCTGAACTGGAATCACTTTGAGAGACAGTATTTGCAAGCACAGTTGACCCTGGAACAACATAGGTTTGAACTATTGTGGTCCACTTAAACACAGAGTTTTTTTCAATAGACACACTGGAAAATGTTTTTGCAGATTTGCAACAATTTGAAAAAACTCACAAACAAACCTCATAGCCCAGAAATATCAAAAAAATAAGAAAAAGTTAGGGATTTATAACTATACAAAACATACACAGATACTTGTTACTGGTTTCTTTTACTATTACCATAAAATGTATACACATCTACCATAAAAGGTTAAAACTTATTGAAACTTACACAAACACTTATAGACCATACATAGCACCAGTCAACAGAAATGGAAACAAACATACAGTATTAAGTAACTATATAGTTAACTACAGTTAATAGTTAGTATACTATATGTAGTAGTATAGTACTACATACTGTACTACCGTAATTATTTCACAGCCACCTCCTGTTAACATTACAATGAGCTCAAGTGTGTGTGTATATCCACTTAAAGTGCCCTGCAACATTAATCACTCGACATGATCAGTTTTCCCTCCAGTAAACTGCATACAGCAGTAAAAAGTAATCTCTTGCAGTACTCACATATTTTTCACTGTTTAGTAAAATATTGTAAACCCTGAATAACACCATGAGACCCATATAAAAATGCCACTAATGATGTTGGAAGTGCTCCCTAGAAACAAAGAAAAATTATGCCATTACAAGAAAAAGTTGAACTGCCTGATATCTACCAAAGATTGAAGACTGCAGCTGGGGTGCCCATCATTTCATAAATGAATCCAGAATAAAGACCACAGTAAAAAAGAAAGAAAAGAAAAGAGAAATTGGTGAAGGTGTTGCTGCAGCTATGCCAGCTGTCATGAAACCTTGCGTTTTTTGCAAAACACCCTTTTATCTTATTGAAAATGCAGCTTTTATGTGGGCAGGGATTGCCATAAGAAAAGCATAGTTATAGACTCTAATATGACTTGAGAAAAAGTGACCATATGACAAGTTAAAGGAAAAGGAAGGGAAAGGATCTAAAACTGCAAAAAAAAAATTTAAGTTTATTTTTTGTAATTTCTACAACCAGTGGGCTCGAACTCACAACCCTAAGATCAAAAGTCGTATGTTCTTCCAAGGCTCTTGGGTGGCTCAGTCTGTTGAGTATCCGACTGTTGACTTCGGCTCAGGTTGTGATCTCATGGTTTACGAGTTTGAGCCCCGCATCAGGCTCTGCACTGGCTCTCTCACTACACCTTCCCTGCTGGCACGTGTGCTCTCTCTCTCTCTCAAAATAAATAAATAAACTTAAAAAAAAAAAAGCCTCAGGTACTTCTGAGCCAGTCCAGGTGTCCCTAAAATTGCAAAATTTAATGCCAGCAAAGCATAGTTTGCTTTTTAGAAAGAGGTTTGACTTAAGGCAAGAAAGAATAGGTTAACTCTACTGTTTTATACAAATGCAGTCAGTTTTACAATAAGAACTGCCCTTATCCATAAAGCTGCTAACTCCGAAGACTTGAAGGGAAAAGATAAACATAGGATGCTAGTCTTTTGGTTGTACAAGAAGGCCTGGACAAGAATCCTTTTTATCGATTGGTTCCATACTTTGTCCCTGAAGTCAGGAATTACCTTGCCAATAAAGGACTGCCTTTAAAATTCTCTTCATATTGGGGTGCCTGGGTGGCTCAGTCAGTTGAGCCTCCAGTTTGGCTCAGGTCATGATCTCGTGGTTTGTGGGTTCATGCCTCACGTAGGGCTCTGTGCTGACAGCTCAGAGCCTGGAGCCTGTTTCAGATTCTGGGTCTCCCTCTCTCTCTGCCCCTACCCCGCTTGCACTGACTCTGTCTCTCAAAAAATAAACACTAAAAAAAAATTTTTTAATTCTTTTCATATTGGATAATTCCCCTGGCCCCCAGAACCCCATGATTTCAAGCACTGAAGTGGTCTATCTGCCCCCAAACACAGGGTCTCTAATTCAGCCTCTAGATCAGGGGTGATAGGGACTTTTAAGGCTCATTACACACAGTACTCTATGGAAGGACTGTCAACATTTTGGAAGAGAATCCCAATACAACATCATGAAAGTCTGGAAGTATTACACCATCGAAGATGCAACTATTGTTACAGGAAAAGCCATAAAAGCCATCAAGCCTGAGACAATAAATTTCTGCTGGAGAAAACTGTATCCATTTGCTGTGTATGACTTTATAGGATTTATGACAGCCAATCAAGGAAATCATGAAAGAGACTGTAGATATGGCCAAAAAAAGGTGGGGGGTGAAGTTTCAAGATACAGATCTGGGAGAAATTCAAGAGTTAATAGACCCCACACCAGAGGAATTAACAGATGTCAATTTGATACAGATGAGCGCTTCCAAACCAGTGCTGGACAGCGAGGAAGAAGATGTAGGAGAAGCAGTACCAGATAATAGATTGACATTAGACAGTCGGGCAGAAGGATCCCAATTATTCAAGACTGCTTTTGACTTATTTTATAACATGGACCCTTCTATAATACGGGCAATGAAACTAAAGCAAATGGTGGAAGAAAAATTGGTACTGTATAGAAATATCTCTAGAGAAATGAAAAAGCAGTCAGACAGAAATTATGATGTAGTAAAGTTATACCAAGTGTGGCTGCCTCCCCTTCCGTGTCCTCCACCTCTTTCACCCCCAAGACAGCAAGATTAACCCCCTCCTCTTTCTCCTCAGCCTGATCAACTTGAAAACAATGAGGATGAAGACCTTTATGATGATCCAATTCTACTTAATGAGCAGTAAATAATCATCATGCCTACAGTTAATAAACCTCTCTGTTGTGTATGTATCTTCATATGAACATCTAATAACTGTATAGCAAGGATTGTATGAGAGGTGTCTGTGTCCTTATTAATGCCTAGGTATTCAGGATGTACAACATCACATGCAAGACTTGCATGGAAGTGGACAGCCTACCCTTATAGAGCATAAGGTAAGTGATATTTAATATAAGATTAAAAACATGTTAGTTTTCTTATCATTTTGTAATTTTGCTTTCCAAGAATTACATTACCATATAATATGCCTCTGCCATAACTGAAGAAACTGCATTTCAGCCTATTATCAAAGGCAAGTAGTTGTGTTTTTTTTTAATTTGTTTTTTTTTACATTTATTTATTTTTGAGAGACAGAGCACAAGTGGGGGAGGGGCAGAGAGAGAATGAGACACAGAATCAGAAGCAGGCTCCAGGCTCTGAGCTGTCAGCACAGAGCCCAAGGCAGGGCTCGAACTCACAAACTGTGAGACCATGACCTGAGCCAAAGTCAGATGCTCAACCTACTAAGCCACCCAGGCACCCCAGTAGTTTTTTTTTTTTAAAGTAACAATGTTTCCAACACTGTATGATAAATATGACTGCTTTACTCTATGCCATGAAAATTTTACAGCAATTCATTCATTAGTGTAAGGCTAGGCTACCATGAAACAATTCACTGATTATACTATACTACCATAAAGCAATCATATTGCTGCTTCTTCATTATCAATGCATGAATACACTTGTAAATAAATATTTTTCACACTATCTTTCCTTCTTTCCTTCCTTCCTAAGTAAACTCGGGGCACCTAGGTGGCTCAGCCGGTTGGGTGGCTGACTTTGGCTCCAGCCATGATCTCACAGTTCTTGTGTTCAAGCCCTGCGTCAGGCTCTGCGAGGACAGCTTGGAGCCTGGAGCCTGCTTCGGATTCTGTGTCTCCCTCTCTCTCTGCCCCTCCCCTGCTCATGCTGTCTCTCTCTCAAAAATAAATAAAACATTAAAAAAAAAAAAAAAAAAAAAAAACAAACCTAAGTAAACTCTACCGCCAATGTAGGGCTTGAATTCCATGACCCTGAGATCAAGTCATACACTCTACTAAGACAGCCAGATACCCCACATTATCTTTTCATTTTTGATATCTAGCGTTAGTAATACATAAAACATCTACAGTGTTTTGTAGATGATATTGATATAGGTACTGACAGAAGATTCACCTTAGAAGTAGATAAACTTTTGGTACCAATAAATACAGTATAGTACTATAAATGTATTGTTTTCTATTTATGATTTTTTTCTTTTTAAAAAAATATTTATTTATTTTTGGGGAGAGCATGACTGGGGGAGGGGCAGAGGGAGAGGAGAGAATCCCAAGCACACTGCCTGTCAGAGCACAGAGCCCAATGTGGAGCTCAATCCACAGCGAGATCAGGACCAGAGCCTAGATCAAGAGTCAGATGCTTAACTGATTGAGCCACCTAGGTGCCCCTTCTTTATGATTTTCTTAATAACATTTTCTTTTCTCTAGCTTACTTTAATGTAGAATATAATGTATAATATTTAACATACAAAATACATGTTAATCGACTATTTTATCACTAAGGCTTTTCAGTCAATAGCAAGCTACTAGTAAAGTTCTGGTTGAGTCAAAATTATACATGCGTTTTGACGGGCGGGGGTGTAGTGTGAGTGTCCCTAATCCCTGCATTTTTTCAAGGGTCATCTGTAGGGTACTTCTAATCACCTCTGTGGAAGAGGCTCAACAGAACATTCTCCTCAAACACCTTAGCCCAGCCTTAATCAAACCCTTGCTAATAAGCTAATAACCAAAGCCAACAATGTTCAGAGTAACACTAGTCAACACCCCAAAATCAGATGACCAAGTTTTATACTTGCCTGTCAAATGGAACATCCACAAGAATCCTGGAATTGGTTAAGGAGAGAAGACAATTCTTCTGTAACTTTAAGGGAATAAAGAAAAATAATTTTGAGCAAAGGTATACCCCATTCTAAATAAAGATTCTAGGCATTTACTGAGAGCTCACTGTGTACCTGCCTCTGTGTACTTCCAAGTTCATTTAATCTTACTCTGTCACATTTACCTCTGCCTAAAGAACAATCCTCCCCCTACCTTTTTTTTTTTTTGACAAAGTGGGGTCTTTTCTCCTGAACCCCAATGGCCTGACTATGGGTCAGTCTAAATCAATTACCTGAAGCCTGGGCCATCTACAAATGTCCTTACCAGATCTCTCATAACTATGTGATAGAGTTATACCTGCTACCTAAGACCAGCAGGGATGAAACTGGGCCATTAGAGACAGGAAAGAAAGAGAAAGCCTCATGGGAAAGCTGTAGGAATAGAAAAACATACCATTTCTTTGAAAGGCCATAATAAGTAGGCCTGTATGACTGAAGTAGTTTAAGAGGCAGGGCCAGCAAGCCTGAAATGCCAACAGGAACTGGGCAGTAACAAACAAGTGAAGTGATGCCTTCATGTAGGAATTAACTGATGCCTTCATGTAGGAATTAACACCATGTAGGAATTAACACCAAACTGTGAAGGAGCTTCCAACTTCTCAACAGAAAGTAGAAATAGATTTTTTTTTTTTTAATGAGGAAAAACCACCTTCCTTATTGTATTTAAAAAATTTTACATTTTAAGTACATACTTCAATTAGATTTGACAAATTGATACAGCTGTGTAACCACTACCATCCACCATCACCATAGTTAAGATAAAAAATATTTCCATTACCCCAAAGAGTTGCACTGCATGACCTTCCAGTCAATCTTAACCTCACAGGCTTCAACCCCAGAAAATTACACTGTCCTAAGAGACTAATCTTTTCTCAAGTTTCACATAAATGGAATCATATGTTATCTACTCTTCTGTGTCTGGCTTATTTTGCTCAGTATATAATGTTTTTGAGATTCATCCATATTGCACATGAGTACTTTTTTCCTTTTTATTGCCAAATAGTATTTTTCTATATGAACATACCACAATTTATCTATTCATCTGTTGCTGAACAACTGAAAAGTTTTCAGTTTTAGGAGATATATTATCAATAAAGATATTATGAACATTCATGTAGAAGTCTTTGTATGAATATATGATTTCATTTCTCTAGTAGTGGAATGACTAGGTAGTGTAGAAGGTATATGTCTAACTTTGTAAGCCAGCGTCAAACTGGTAATTGCATCATTTTACATTCTTAACATCAATATGAGAATCTCAGTTGCTCCACACCCCTGCCAACACTTTTAATTTCAACCAATGTAGTGTGTAGTAGTACTGGGTATGCAGTGGTATCTCAATGTGGTTTTAATAACTAAACACACTGAGCATCTTTTCACATACTCATTTGTCATCTGCATGTATTCTTGGGTAAAGTGCTCAAATCTTTTGCCTTTTAAAAAAATTGGTTTATCTTGTGTTACTAAGAGGTTTTTTTAAATATTTTCTATAAAAGTCTTTTCTCATATATACAAAATAAACATTTTTCCCAGCCCACAGCTCACCCTTTTCAATTTGTGTGTGTGTGAGAAGCTTATTTTGATGAATTCTAAATTTATTATTTTTCTTTCATGATGTGTGTTTTTTGTATCCTAAGAAAACTTTGCCTACTTCAAGGTCACAAATATTTTCTCCTATGTTTTCTTCTACAAGTTTTAGGGTTTTACCTTTTATATTTAGATCTATGATTCAATTCAAGTTAACTTTCACATATGATGTTAAGCTTATAACGATGTACTGAAGTGTTAACAGTACATGAGTTTCTGGGTAACTGGTTTTTGAGAAATTTTAAAAATTTGAACCCAACTGCTTATCCAAATTTGCTATTTTTTTCTATAACAAATATAAATTCCTTATTTATTTTCTCTCTCATTCTTTCAGGTAGGATGAAAAATTAAAAGAAAATAGTGCTAAAACTAATAATAACTAATACTAATAACTTTTTTCATGTATTTGCCCTGAAGTAAGAAGCACAGTCAAGTATTCAATTCAAATTACCTGCTGGTAATGGGGGAAATTTTTCAGAGCCTTGAAAAGCAGACAGGTGACCTCTGACAACAGACGAACAGGCATCCCCCTGGCCAGGCCCTGGCGTGTTAAGTTGAGGGCGCAAGCACTGGCTGTGAACTGCACTGGCAAATCCAATGGATGATTCCTCATTCCTACAGCCACAAGCTGAAGATGAACTTGTTTTTAGTGGCATATGACAACATTAGCATTCTTTAAACTGTCTTTTTTTGTGTTAATTGGCAAAAATATCTGTTTATTGGGCCAGAAAGTAACAGATTTTCCCTATCCTCAGCATTTATTATTTTAGGACACCAGCAATACCTTCCAATCCAAATGCAGCCATTAACTAGCTCTGTGACTAAAGGCAAGTCACTTCCCTTCTTTGGACTTCTGTTTCCTCAGTAATTTCATAATCCTTTATCGAACCTCACTCCATACAAAGCATTGTGATAAGCACTACAGGGGACACAAACATGAATCACTTACACCCTAATTCCTTAACATAAAGCCTTGTGAGAAAAATAAGGTATGTAAACAAAGGATACTGTGAGGGCTATCAAAACATGAAACTGGAAAAAAGAAAGTATCATAAAAGAAGTATACATAAAGTGCTGCCTAAGGTCACTGTGGAGGGAGCAATCATTTCTGGTATGGAATCAGAAGACTTCATTCAGAGAGCACATTTAAGCAGGGTTGCAGCTAAGATTTGGACAGAATAAGATGGAGGTAGGGATGAAATGAAGAGGAGATTCCCAAGGAAGGGAAAGGTGATAAGGAAATACACAAAATAAACAAAAGGATGGGATGAATCCATTAGCGGAGGAGAAAATTTGAATTTAACAGAATTTTGAAAGCATTTGAAAAATGGTAAAGCATAACATTAGAAAGGTAACTGGAAGACAAACTGTGAAAGACCTACAACACTCATGTAAAATGGAGGTGCCATTCTAACCTTAGACCACCCCTGCTCTAACATTTAAGGACAAAGCAATCTGTTTTGTCTATCCAACAGGGATAATAGTCATCCCTATCTACCTCAGAAACTAGTCTGCTGATACTTGCATGAACCATGATTTTAAGAGACCAGAGCCCCTCACTCTGACAGCTGCATGAAGTAATGGAGCCTAGAGACAGACACAGACCTGGGACACATTCTACTAGAGAAAAAAATGACTGTTGTCTATATTGCTAAACTCCTCCTAGGATTTCATTGGATTGCCATCATCTGCAAATTAAATATGCAGAAATAATAAAAAAAAACCCATGGTTTTCAAAAATCATAGAATCTTTGATATGAAATGGACTTTTAGAACACCAAATTCAGTATCATTACAAATGGGAAAAGTCCAGAATTTTTTCTCTTTATACAGTGCTGCTTTTAGGTTATGAACAAATCTAATCTCGCATGAAGCAGAAATATCCGTATTTTTAAGGAAATGCAAAGAATTACAAATAATAAAGACACAGTGACTTTAAGACTCTTCATTTCCACGTTACATTTCACTCTAAATAACTGCAGTTTTCTTTCCCAAACCACTTAATACTTCCAATAACATTTAAAATAAATTCATTCTGTAGGGGCGCCTGGGCAGCCTCAGTCAGTTAAGCGTCCAACTTTGGCTCAGGTCATGATCTCACGGATCATGAGTTTGAGCCCCACATCGGGCTCTCCACTCTTAGCACAGAGCCCGCTTCAGATCCTCTGTCTTCCTCTCTCTCTCAAAAATAAATAAACATAAAAATAAAAAAAAAATTCATTCTTCTGTAAACCAAAGCCTGGACCTACCAATACTGGTAATTTTACTTTATTCACAAAATACTTTAAATGGTAGATTTGGCCACCTTCAATTATTACATTTTGCTCTGTTCTTGTTGGAGATACTGATGTTTTCTTTTAGAAAACCAGAGGTTAGATTTTAAAGAGTAAACAAATGGAGTGCCTGGGTGGCTCAGTCGGTTAAGTGTCTGACTTTGGCTCAAGTCATGATCTCGCAGTTCGTGAGTTTGAGCCCCGTGTTGGGCTCTGTGCTGACAGCTCAGACTTTGGAGCCTGCTTTGGATTCTGTGTCTCCCTCTGTGTCTGCCCCTCGTCCACTCACACTCTGTCTCTGTCTCTCTCAAAAATAAGTAAACATTTGGGGCGCCTGGGTGGCGCAGTCGGTTAAGCGTCCGACTTCAGCCAGGTCACGATCTCGCGGTCCGTGAGTTCGAGCCCCGCGTCAGGCTCTGGGCTGATGGCTCAGAGCCTGGAGCCTGTTTCAGATCCTGTGTCTCCCTCTCTCTCTGCCCCTCCCCCGTTCATGCTCTGTCTCTCTCTGTCCCAAAAATAAATAAACGTTGAAAAAAAAAAAATTAAAAATAAGTAAACATTTAAAAAACATTATTTTTTTAAATAAAAAACAAAGAGTAACCAAATGAATGAATGAATAAGAAACAACATTTAGGGCAAAGTGACTTTGTGTTTATAAATTATATCTCTTATTGTAGGCAAAATAGTACAGTGCTCCTATAGACCCTTCTCAGGTAAAATCAAAACGCTGGATGATTCTAATTGATTCAGATGCTCAAAATGAGAAATGGTCTAGTAGTTAAGTCTAACATTGTTTTCCTTTCTCTGTGAGGGTACTGTGGCTCACTATAGAATAAGGCATATAAATTATTGCAATCAGTGTTTTGTGAACACCTTTAATGAACTAAGCAAAAAGTGGTAACAAAAACTACCTTTCTGAGGTATAGTTACCTTTAAAATCGCAGGCATGGTTACCTGCATTGAAAACGTCTCTGTGAAGAGCCTGTAAAGGGCTTCCTTCATAAAACATGACCTATTCCTGTATCGACTCAGTGCTTCTGAAATCTGGCTCATATTGGCTCCTCCAGCAACCTGAAAAACAAAAATATTACCAATAGGTTTCACTACTCAGGTTTTTAAGGGGTTTTGAGTGTTAGAAACAATGACAGGTATTCAATTCAGTGTTCCAGGTGCTTTACAAAGTTACTCTTATTGAATTCTAAGTCTAATAGGTAAATGGTCTCCTCAATCCCATTTTTACAGATGGGGTCAGAGAGATGAAGTATGGTGCTAATTTTAACAAACCAATTCAGTGATGGAGCTAAACTGAAATGCCATCTCCCTACAACTATATTACAGTTAAGACTTCAAAAAAAAAAAAAAGACTTCAATTGAATAATGGGTGGCATATAAATTTTTAAACAATCAATAACCATGACTGCATATGTTTTCTAAGTACTCATATAGAATAAATTAGGTAATAAGAGAAAGGTAAAAGGCCACATAAAATAACTAAAATGGAAGGGAAAAGGACTTTTTTGTAGTATTACTTTTTATTTATTAAATATTAACACAATTCTTTCTTGCTACCACCTAAATAATAACTTTTAAAAATCTACATATAGACTTTGGGTCTGGAGGATAATGGTACCCCCCCCATGATCCAAAACATAAATAAGGAATGCAAATAAAACTAAGTATGACCCAATTTTCAGCATTCCTGGGTAGTGGAGAAGAAAATAAAGGGGAAAATTCAGAATCTTGTAAAATGAAAACAATCCCCTGTCCACTCTACCATGACCAGTGATATCATTATCACTGAAGAAACCTCACATCACTGATTGACATCACTAATGGACAATGCTTCTGAAGTAGGAACTATGTCCATTAAATACCAAAAAATAAAAAATTCAAACCAATTCCATATATAGCTATTTATAAGAAATTTCTAAGCAGCATATCTACACATTTCATCCGAGAAAAATTCTTCCTATAAACCAACAACAAATCAGAAGAAAATTTTAACACAGCACTAATCTGAATTAAATATTCTCCATAAGCATTTGGGGATATGAAAAAATACCCTCAATGAAAAGATGAGACAATGGTTGCTTACACTCAGGAAAGAAAAAGACAAAATCATATCAAATATAAAAACTAAGTTACAAGGCACCCAAGGAAGCGTGGATTTGAATCAAAATTTAGTAATGGAAAGAAATGCAAGAAAACAAAATTTTTTAAAAAGAAAGAAGTACAGGGGCTCCTGGGTGGCTCAGTTGGTTAAGGGTCCAGCTCTTGACTTCGGCTCAAGTCATGCTCTCACGGTGCATGGGTTCAAGCACCAGATTGTACTCTGTTGGTGGTACAGAGCCTACTTGGGAGTCTTTCTCTCCCTCTCTTCTGCCCCTCGTCCACCCTCTGCTCATGTGCTCTGTCTCTCTCTCTCTCTGTCTCTCAAAATAAATAAATAAACTTAAAACAAAAAGAAAGAAAAAAGTACAAATGGTCTAAGATTGAGTGTTGTTATGGAAAAAAGACAAAGAAGATCCAAGATGTATATATTTGAAGGTCCTTACGGGAAAACTAATATTTAAAACTATTATCTAGAAAAACTTTCCAGAAATAATTTTTAAAAAGACCTAAATCAATACATTGAAAGGATCCACCCAGTACCAGGGACAACTAACTGAGATCGTCTGAGACATATCAGAGTACAAAGATTAAATTTAAAGATAAAGAAAAAAACAATCTGCAGTGCTTCCACATAAAAAGATCAAATAAATAACACAGAGAATTAGACTGTCATGGAACTTAAAAAGCAACATACAAAGCAAGTCAACAGTGGAGAATTTTCAAGAAACCAGGAAAGAAAAGGGTAAAAAAGGAGTTTGTATCCAGCCAAGCTATACTTCAAATATCAAGGTTATAAAAATATAAAATACTGAATAATAAGAACTCAGAGAATAGGACACAAATTCCTTCCTGGAAAATCTGCTAGAGAGTAAGTTTCATACAGTAACCAAGAGATGACGGAGGTAACTCTAGCAAAAGGACAGATGGTGAACATTTAACATATTTAATCATAGATCTGTGTCCCCACATAGTCAACAAGTACATTGGGAAATTATCTGTCTGATATAACTATGTCAGAACCCAGGAGTTTATCAAAGGCTTGCAATTTCCCAGAGAAGCCTTAGACAGGAAATTGTGATTCGTTTCCATCTATTTCAGCTCTTAGCACAGTAACAGCTGTCCACCCCCACCCATCAGCCCCCAGAAATACATCCAGGGCAGCATGCACTTGGCTTGTGGGAGCCAAGAAAGGAAAAAGGATCATGACTCCCAATTATCAGGGATATGTGTTCTGATCACAGAATGCTGCTTCTGAGAACAGGGTACAGGACGCAGGTGAGAAGCCACTATTGCTGCATCTCTCCCTCCAACCAAACTGACTTCCAGGGAAGTTAAAGGGCCAGTGTCCTTTATATCCCCCTTGTCTTCCTTTTACTCTTTTTCTAATTTGGGAAGCCAGACACTAAAGACTAAAACATTCAAAACAAATGCATACACAGAGAAAATTCCAAAGTGACTGCACAGACCCAAGAAAGATTCAGAGAAGACCTAAAAAGACCTTTAAGTTTATACTTCAGGTTGGTATCTGGCACAGGTCAAAACAAAAACAAACACAGTAACAAAACAGCCAACCCTAGGGAAAGGAGACAATCTAATTTCTAGAGCTACCATATTATAAGTTTCAAATGTCCAGCTTTTAACAAGAAAAAAAATCACAAGGCATACAAACAATTAAGTATGGCTCATTTGAAAGAAAAAGGAATCAACAGAAACTGTCCCTATAAAAAAAAAAACCAGATGGCAAATCTACTAGGAAAGACTTCTAGACAACTGTCTTGCAGATGTTCAAAGAACTAAAGGAAGATATACATAAAGTCAAGGAAATGATGCATGAGCAAAAGAGAAAAAAATCAATACAGACAGAAATCATAAAAAAGAAAAAGAAGGGGTACATGGGTGGCTCAGTCAGTTAAGCATCCAACATCAGCTCAGGTCATGATCTTACGGTTCGTGGGTTCAAGCCCCGCGTCAGGCTCTCTGCTGACAGATCAGAGCTTGGAGCCTGCTTTGGATTCTGTGTTTCCCTCTCTCTCTGTCCCTAACCTGCTCACACTCTGTCTCTCTCTCTCTCTCTCTCTCAAAAATAAGCAAATATTTAAAAAAATTTTTTTAAAAAAAGGAAAAAGAAAAGAAATTCTTGAGCTGAAAAGTACAATAACTGAAACGAAAACTTCACTAGAGGGATTCAAAGGCAGATTTCACCAGACAGAAGAATCAACCAATTCGAAAGCAGGACAACAGAAATGAGTAGTCGGAGGAACAAAAAACAAAAAGATGAAAAAAAAATGTGAAGAGACTCTCAGGAACCTATGAAATACCAAGGAGCAGACCAAACTACACATTGTGGGCATCCCAGAAGAAGACAAAGAGAGGGGCTGAGAGAATATCTGAAGAAAATATGACTGAAAAATTCCCAAATTTGATTAAAGACATTAATATAAATATCCTAGGAAATCTAAAGTAAGATGAACTCAAGAATACTCACACCAAGACACATTATAATCAAATTTTTGAAGGCTAAAGACAAAGAAAATCTTGGAAGCAGCAAGAGAAGCAAAGCATCATACATAAGGGATCCCTGATGAGATTATCTGCAGATTTCTCATCAGAAACTTTAAAGGGCAGAAGACAGTGGGAAAAGATATGTTTGAATTGTTAAAAGAAAAAAACCCCTGTTAACCAAGAATCCTATATCCAGCAAAACTGTCCTTCAAATGTAAGGGAGAAATCAAGACATTCCCAGATAAAAAAAGTTGAAGAAATTCATTATCACTAAACCTGTCCTGTAAGAAATGCTCAAAGGAGTCCTGCAGAGTAAAATAAAGTAACACTAGACAGTAATAAGCCATCTGAGGTAATAAAGATCTCAACAGAGGTATATACATGGTCCATTTTAAAAAACTAGTGATATATTGGGGCACCTGGGTGGCTCAGTCAGTTAAGCGTCCAACGTTGTCTCAGGTCATGATCTCTCTGGTTCATGAGTTCGAGCCCCACATAAGGCTCTGTGCTGACAGCTCAGAATCTGGAGCCTGTTTTTGATTCTGTGTCTCCCTCCTTCTCTGTCCCTCCCCCACTCGTGTTCTGTCTCTGTCTCAAAAATAAATAAACACTAAAACAAAAACAAAACAAAACAAAACTAGTGATATATTAACACTGGTTTGTAGGAGCACCTGGCTGGCTAAGTTGGTACAGTATGTGACTCTTGATCTCAGGGTCATGAGTTCAAGCCCCATGTTGGGTGTAGAGATTACTCAAAAAAAAAAAAAAAAAAAAAAAAAAAAAAAAAAAACCCACAAAAAAACCACAAAAACTGGTTTGTAACTTTTTGTTTTCTACATGATTTAAGAAACGAATACATTTGCTAAAAAAAAAATTATTACTCTAAAAGCTAGTGTTATTATAACTTGAATTATCAATTTTTACACTCTGGGGCAAAAAATGCATAATGATATAATTTGGGGATATCATTGATTAAAAGGGGTGAGAATGGAGATGTAAATGAGCAGTGTTTTAGGTCACTGAAGTGAAGCTGATACTCAAATTGGAGTATTGTGACTTTAGGATATCAAATGTAATCTCCACAATAACCACAAAGAAAACTGTTACAGAAAATACACAAAAGGAAATGAGAAAGGAGTTTAAACATTTCATTATAAAAAAATCAGCTGAACAAAAGGAAAATAGTAATGCAGGAGATGAGGAACAAAAAAAGCTGCAAAACATATAGAAACCAAAGAGCAAAATGACAGAAGTCCCTCCTTATCACTAATTACTTTAAATGTAGATGGATTAAATGCTACAGTCAAAAGACAAAGATTGGAAGAATGAATTAAACATATGATCCAACTATACACTATCTACAAGAGACTCACTGCAGATCCAAAGACATAGCTAGATGGAAAATGAAAGGATGGAAAAAAACATTCCATGCAAATATAACCAAAAGACAGCAGGGG